ATCTGTAATCATTAGAACATTGTATAAAACATAATTTTTTTTTAGAATTGGAATCACAATGTTCAAAAGCACATTTCTGGAAAAAACTCTCAACCCAGTAACAATGTATGTAAACTTTAATATATATAAGCCAAGTTAGATAATTTTATAAAATCTGCGGGAATGCTCGTTGGCAAAAAAAAATGTCAAATAATATTCATTATTTATGAAGAGGTGAAACTGTACCGAAAGAAATATTGTCGAAAAATCAATAGCTTTATCGAATCGTTTCATTTTATCATGCAATGGAATCGCGATCGATCCAATCTCGATAAGTGTGCACTGGATACTGTTGGACAAGAAACGATAAAACCTCAATGAATGTCGTCCGTATATCGTTGGATAACTGCTCGTCGGGATTTTAGATTAAAGAAGAAAATCAATGTAAACCGCATCACCATAGACCTAGTTCTACCGATATTCGGCGATGAATTGTACGCTTCTCCCATGGTTGCGAAATTTTTTTTTAGAGGATCTTTCATCTTAACAACTCATTTGATAACAATGTGCTAAAATGATACGGGCTTAATGCAAGTCCAACAATTCAGCGACCACTGTCTAAAAATCGTACGTGAAATCATACACAATCACAAGGGGATATTTCTTGCTTCGAGTGCGGTGTGAATAAGTTACTTTAGATCGTGACTTAAGCGGTCCATTACATGCGCTACTGTTTTTATCTTCAGTTAATAGGATGAATAATTATGTATATATATTTAAAGGTCACCTTGCGGGGCAAAGGACAGAAGGACGAGCGAAAGATCGTATAAGCGACAACGTTTTCAGACAAACATGCACGCCGTGTACGCATACGTGTACTGTGCATAATATACCTACAGGGTATTGCAGAAAAAATGAGAATGTTTAAAATAACTCTCAAGTGAGTAAAAAATGTTATAAAAATGTTGTGAAAAATAATTTCCTTACCGAAAACCGAATCTATATCGTATGCAGTTAAGTTTCATAAAGGTTAAAAATGTCAAATCTAAAAAATAATGTCCGTAAAGCGGTGTTCATTTGTACGTGTACATTCCTGAAATTTCAATTCAGCTCGTAACTTTACTGTCAATATATCTCGTCTACAGTATTCCTATTTTTTTATCTAACTGCAGTTACCGCAAAAGGTGACATGTTAAATTCAGATCCTGCTTAATTTAGATTTTGGAGATATTGGAAAGAGCCAAGCACAATGTCAACGTTCAATATCAAAAATTTATACACGAAATATCTTCGGGACTTTAGTTTTAAATAATTATATTTTTAACCTTTTAAATTTTAGTGGTATATAGATAAATTATAAATTCCGCTTTCAATAATAAAACTATGTAAAAAAATTTACTCACTTCTATAAGAATTATTTCACATTTTCCCAGAATACTCAATATATAATAATATCGTATACATGAGTAATTATTTAATAAATATATCTCTATATGTTTATTTTTTGTAACCGATTCTGCGCCTACTGCTGGTTTTAATTAGATATCTTGGTCTACATATTCGATTTTTGTCAAGTCTCGTCCATATCTCTCTCTCTCTCTCTCTCTCTCTCTCTATCTATCTATCTATCTATCTATCTATCTATCTCTCTCTATTTCTCGTTAATTCTCGTTAATTCTTATATCTTAAAGTGTATTATCCTTCTCGGTTTATCCAAACATGAGGTATGAGGGTCCTATGTGTGATCGTGATATTCACGCGAGGATTGCTGGTTTTGCACCGAATCACCACCGCCGCCGGCTTCGTGGTCACTTACGAAACGTACAGATTTACATTATTATTATTACCACGGTCTGGTTTACAGTATTATATATATTAGATATTGTTTTCATTGTCGTCGCCAGAGGCTAGACATACATTTCGTGCACCATGACCTCGGCTTATGGTCGGGGAATGGGTTTAACAACACGACAAGCTCTTTTGTTTAGGTAACGACTATAATATGTGCTGTGCCCAGAACGCACCGTAATTAAGAATTCATTCCGGGTGTTGATGTTGGCCGATTTTCCCTTCCTTTTCCACTACCATAACACCGGGTTTAAAAATATCATCCCTTAATGCTATCCTAAAATGCCATTTAAATGTATATTACATTTCTATAATGCATACGATAAGTGTTAAATTATATACTACTGGTGTATATTATAGAGAACATTGCAAATCAATGTCGTCTGTGTCTCGTAAATAATATTGTTAAACATAAAAGTATCATACTCTAAATCAAATTTTTAAACCGAATAATCGACGTGACGATATAATATACAGCTATTGTAAGCTATTTACATGTTTCATTGTACTAGTTATGTAAATATACTCTAAATAATGAAATTAATTCTACCGTTTTGAAATAAATCACCATAAAAAAGTTTTAGGTCATTCTGTATGATTTTAATTTATATAAATTTTACCAACTGACATTTATATTTGAAGGTATAGAACAATTGCAATTGACACTTTGCAAACACATAACATATAACACATGCGCCTATTGCAAAAGTTTAATTCATACTAATTGAACATTTTTTTTTTAATTAAGGAAAATATAAATTAAATAAGAAAACAAATTCTCAACTGATATTATTAAAATTATTTTAAAATGTATATGTTTCATGCTATGATGACGAATTTAAATTCATTTTAAAATAATAATATGTATAATTTTGGCTTGTTACCATAATTGTTTAGATATTCAAAATAATTAAGTTTTGTTTATATATTATTGATTGTATATAATAAAACCACGATTGAAACTGTATTAGGTTATGTACATTTTTATTACAAATAATACATCGAATAATTATTTAACAACTATTGAAATAATTAAAAAAAAAAAATTATTTTTGATATTTTTGATAGAACCAATATGCATTTTTGTTAATTTTTCCCAAAATATCAATAACATCAAAACAATATTACATGAAAATATTTAATTTGCGAACACAGCAAGTATGATTGTTATTATAAATTTATAAATACATTTTTGTTATTTCTAAATGTAAATATTTAAAATATACTATTTAACTGTCAAAAAAACAAATATAACATTTATTTATAACGTATTGATACAAGTTGATGGAATAATGATTGAATTTGAATTTTGATATCCACAGTATTTGTTTTAATAAACACATATATCGGCCCATAACTTAATATTTGCTTAACAAATACAGAATTCAAATGCCTTGTAGCTAGGAAATTAATAAATTGCATTCGAAAAAACATTTTGGTTCTTTGTTCTTTCACAAAACGAATCATTACATATCGTAAAAATCTAGCTTTTATTATTTTCAATATTAGTAAAAATTAAAATAATCTGAATAAAATACGTATATTTATAGTAGTCAAGACTTTTTCTTTTAATACAAAATAGAAACTAAATATTTTTTATTGCGCACCATCCTTGGTTAAATATCGTTTTTTGAGTTTCATGATTTATCATTCCATAACTAATTTTTTATAGAATATGCAAATAAAACAGTTACCATGACGAACAACAATGAATCTCAGTGGAAAATTGGTATTGGTTAAATTGGTTAAGAATAAGATAGATAGTATGCGAAAAATTTTATGAAATGATTAAGTACAAATTTTGAATACTAAACTTATTAACGAAAATTTAAGCTCAACGTGGAATAAAAATACATTTTTTTTTTTCAATTATTTTTGTTTTATTAATTTGCTTTACAATTCTAGCATTAAAGTTGAATAAATTTTACCTATGATTTGACTAAAGAATATCTGTATTAATATAATATTAAAATAAAAAAAATAATATTTTTTAAAACTAAAATATAAAAATAATCTAAGCTGCAGCTTTTATTACATGTAAACGGTTTGTACAGTATAACCAAATAATTCATAGTTATAATATTTTTTAATGATGACAATTTGTTATAAAGAACAATAATGAGAAAATAAACAGAACATAAATAAAACATTACATTTAAAGACCCTTGCAGCCCTGTCCATGTACACATCAATAGAAAATGTTAGCAACTAATTTATGAATCAAAAATATAACAATGAAAACAATGCCATCGGATAGATCAATGAGATAATGCATACAAAACGCATCAATGATTTAATAATTACAAAATTGAAAACATGAGTTTTATAACGTAATTCAGATTTTCATCATAATTATTCAAAAATTTATAAAAATCTGATGTATTTTTTCCTGGTATTTTATACTAAGAGAGGACAAGAAGAACGTATTATAACGAGCAGCGAAAAAATAAAAATATTTTTATGGGATTAAGAAAAATACAATATTAAAAGTCCGGTGAGATACTTCAATTTCCATGTAAAAGTTTTTATTACCATGCTAATCGTATTTATCTTTAAAACTTTTAACCGCATTACGATAAAATCGTAGTACACGAAAACTGATTCTGATTCGAGGTCAATGTAACATAAATGTTGGTCTTGAACGTGTTAAAGATTAAATACAAATAAATTTCCAGCATTCGTGAAAATAATCCATTTTACCATGGGCATTTAAAACATTTGTAAAAAAAAAAGTGCGTGGACTAAATCTTCTGAGTTTTTACGCATGAATAAAATTACGTAAGATAGCCTCGTATACAATTTCCAAGCCATTAAACAAAAAATTACTCATTTCATAAAAGACGGTATTTTTTATTTCTTTTATTTTTTCCCTACCAGTGGTATCATAATTGTATGAAATTTACGAAGGTAGACGAAAATAATCTGGTTTATCTTACACCGGGGGACGTATCAAATTTCTTAACGGAAAAGTTTTTGGGACATTTTTCTTACAGATTTACATCCTACAAAAGAGTTTATAAGAACTCAAATACTGTAAAACCAATGAATTATCATGTTGTTCAAAAACTTAAAAGTTTAAAATTTAAATCGAAAAATTGTTATTATACCGAACCGATAACAATAAAATATTTTAACAATTTTTATAATTAAGGTAATATTTATTTATATTTAAGGTGGCCACACACTACAGTTTTATTTGTCCGCGTACCAAGTACGGTGTAGTTCGAACAACGTACACCGATAGTATGTGGGCAATAAAAGGACGAAAAACACCGTACACGGACATGGAGTACAAACTGAGGAGTTTGATATTTTGCCCGTGTTCGGTGTTCGAAATGATGAAAACCGAAAGTGTGTGTCCATATTCTGTGTTCGAACTAAAACCATACAATTCTAAATATTTTTTAAATTAAATAATAAAAAATAAAAAAATAAAAAATAAATAAAATAAAAAATAATAATAATAATTTTTATATATTTTGCCAGTCATTTCTACTATTAAGTAGAGTTTTATATCTCTAGTTGCTCTTTGAAAGGTAAATATTATTATCTTTTTAATTATTTGTTGTGTGGCTACTGAATCGGCTATAGCCAAACGCTTGGTACGTGATATAGGTCTCATATTGAAAGAAAAACGTATTAAAAATATAAGCACTCAAAAGCTTAGCGTATTTAAAAAAACGTGGACGCTGGTAGATAACTGAAGACAATATTGCGTAGTGTGTAGATGTACGAATAAAACGGTCCGTGTTCGAACACTATACGAGTAGAATGATACAAAACTGATAGTGTGTATCGTTCATCGGTGTATGAAATAAAAACGTGCGAACTACACCGTACACGGTACATGGATAAATAAAACTGTAGTGTGTGGCCACTTTTAGATTGTTACTACAACTTAAATATTGTCAATCAAGGTGGTTGCAATAATCTTGGGTATTATATAGAAAACATTAATTAAATAATAATAACATTTAAATACATAGCTTAATAATTAGTAACCATAACAATTGCTTGATTTTGAATTTTAGAAAATCGTCGATTTTGATAACCGGGAAAAGAATTATATCAAAAATGATTGAACAACGAAAAAAAAACCGATTGAAATTACTTATTTTTAATTTGTATTTAATTATTATTGAAAGATAATTTTTATGAACTTTAATAATACATAAACTATGGTTATTATTTAGTTGTTATTTTTGTATAATGTTTTAATTTAAAAAGATACCACTTTTCTTTTACAATTCTATACAGTGTACGCTTATGATATGAATTTACACTGGATAAATTCTAAAACCCATAAACTAACAAATACAGTTTTATGATGTTAGGTCACTTGAAAGAAATACTCGTATAAATTGAAAAGTTGCCGGATCCCCGTGGTTTATTGTTAAATTATAATAATTTTTCAATTCAGAACCAACCTAACCTAACCTTATAGAGTATATGTGATTTTGTTTGCTTCAAGATTTGTGGCATAACAGCATGACCTTATTATACATTATTCTTAATAATTCGCTTTTGATTATGCCATTATAATTTATACATTCCTTTAATACACTCGTTCATAATTCCGTTATTGAAAAGAAATTGACTTAGAACATTTTAGTTATTTTCAAGTCAGATACTAAACTGTTGATAAAATCTTTGTGTATTTAAAAAAAAAAAATGAGCAATCGTAATCAAAAATAAAAATATATCACAATGACTAAATGTATATAAAATAAACTTTTATTTTTACTTTCTATATTCGTGTACTATGACCGATTTAAACTAAAGTAATAATTAACTTTTCGTTACACTTGAATACTTTTAATATATAGTCCTATTTTGCTTAACATTTCTGTATGCATGAATATACATAATATTATAATATGTATGTTGCTTTACTGTGTTTATTCGAGCGAGAGGTTCAGCACAGATTATGGTTTTTTAGTATGAAATACATCGGATTTGTAAAGTTCGATACAAAACGGACTTAGGAAAATTTAATCTTTGTTGTTTGGCATAACTTCTATTCAGTGTCTGTAATTTTAAGACTGACTAAAAAACATATAACAAAATTAGAAAAAAATAATTTCTATTGACCAAAATTAAAAAAATTTAAATACTGCTTCTGCTATTTATCACGTTAATATTAATCTATTCTGACCTATGATGTATGTTTGTATTTGTAAATTATATTATTTTAAATTTTAGAACATTCTGAAAATGACATCACGTGCTTGTCGCTTACAAGTTGACCGTACAGTATTAAATAATAAAACAAAAAACGTAATCGATTGGTAAACATAATTTAAAATATGTAAAATTAAAGTAATGTCGCGATAGAATAAACAATAGAACTATATGGAAAATCCGAATTATAACATATGGAAACCTATTTTTAAAAGAAATCAGTGACCCAGCCTTAAAAGCTTATTATTGTTGTGTTGTGCGATAACTATTAAACTGGTGCTGATGTTTAGTCAGGCATACGACCGTATTTTTTATTATTAAAAAAATAAAAACTTGTCGAAACTGAGCAATGTTGAATAAAATTATCAGACTCATGTGGTCAGCGTGATTCATTAAAAAAATAAAAATAATAACAATGAAGATTTATTTAAATGCCTGTTATATACGTCAGAGCAGCAGGGTGCAAAACTGACGAGGTTCGTCGGAAGTATCGAATATAATACATTTTAAATTAATTTTGTTATTTTTTTGTCGAGTTGAATGTATTTCACAGTAATGTCATATAATTTATTTTTCGTTATTCAACCACATGTAATGGATTGGTAAAAAAAATTAAAAAACCCAAGTTCGTTGAGAAAGTATTTATTTTTCATTTGTTATAATTGAATAAATATAAAATCCATGTATTGATGATTGGGACGGGAATAAAAAACTAAAGTGAAACTCACAATGACTTTTCACAGTAATTATGTATTTTTTATTAACAACATATTCGACGGCGTACGTGAAACCATGTTCAAAAAATCAGATCATCATAAGCGCAATTTGGAGAAAAAAATCGTACAATTCAGATGAGTGAGACTATAGGCGCAATTTGGGGGAGGGTATGGGTATGCTTAGTAGTAGCACCCCCATTTTGAAATATGTTCATGTTAATTTACATTTAAATATTTATTACCGTAAAATGGGGCAACATTGATAATACGGGGTATCTTTGATAATCCACATTTTTAATCTTTACATTGATAATATCAATTGTATATGTGTAAGAGTTATCGTTTTTACGGTTTTGTCGGATAGTGCAAATGGTAATGATCCAAGAATGAATTATTGATAGACTATTCTTATCATATATTGTTTGTTATCTTTTGTTGTTTCACATGCTTTCAAAAACGAAAAAATAAAAATTATTCTTTTCAAGAACAAAGTCCTACGCAAAGTAAGTACATTTGAGAGAACAATTATTTTACATATTCCTTAAGAATGGTGATACCATGAACATTAAAATACGTTGTTAGAAATTATGTTTTGCTTCAAATTTAATGAAATACGTGTATTTGTTTGACTTGGGGTAGCTTTGATACTTTAAATTTTTTTATTTTATTATAGTGGCTCGCAATCCAAAAAGGAAGTTGGGCAGTAAGCCATACAAAAATAATACAAATGAAGCATTAAATGAAGCACTTACTAAAATTGCAAATGGTGATATTTCCATACTTGCTGCAAGTAAAATTTATAAAATATCTTATGGAACATTGCATAACAAATATAATTGGAAGCACATTAAGCGACCTGGAGCAATATAAAGTACAAATTTCCAAATTCCGTTGATGTGAGAGAAGCATAGACAGTGTACAGTGTAATATTTAGTCTGACAGAAAAAACAAGACTGAATAATAGGTATCAAATATAAGTTTTTTTTATTTTTTATTGTTATAATAATTTTATAATTTGTTACTGTTATATTATTTTAATAAAATATTTTTGTTAATAATCTATTATGATAAATAAGTCTGACAGGAACGATAAGACTTGATTAGTATTAAAATATAATATAATTTGTGTTATTAAATGTAATTTAAAAAGTTATGATTTATTTGTTAATAAACAATTGTTTGTAGTAGATAATTGGTTATTTATTTTGGATATCCTGGTTAAATCCTTTTTTTGCTTGAGTCATTAGCTCAATAGATAAGTAACACAGTCTATGGGGGGTCAATAACCCTGATATTAACCCACCACCCCCTTGGCATCATGAAATCAACCATATTACTTTTCATTTACTAGGCATGGCTTAATAACCTATATCAATGTTACCCCACCTAAGTAAATTGTGAATAACTCAAAAAGTATAAGTCAGAAACATTTTTTGTGGGTAACATTGATAGTTTGTCCATCATACCATTTGATATAATGTATAAAAATAATGGGTATCAATGTTACTCCAAAATAAGTGGAACATTGATAAGTACATTCAATACTTAAAATGTATGTGATAAAAGTATCAAATTTTTTTTTTTTTTTTTTAGTATATTGTGGGAAAACTTATAATTGAGCTGAATTGATTATGATAGACAATGTTTATCACTTTTAACAATAATTTAAAAAAAAAAAATAAAAAAAAAACAAACAAAAATTATCAAAGTTGCCCCATTTTACGGTACTCATTATATATAGAAAAAAACAGAGTTTTTATTGTATAAATATATAAATTTATTATTTGAATAATGGCAGTGGAAGTTCGTTCTTCGTATCTTTGATCCTCGAACTGAATAATAGTAATGGGCAGGATTACCAGATTTTTATATCCCTAAACCTGAACTATCATATTGAATGGCTCTTTTTTTATTTTTTTATGAAAACAATATAAGTACATACTTTTGTAGTTTAAATATTTATTAGCTAATACAAAAATACATTATCATTGTATATAACCATACCGATTAGATTACCATAATATAATAATATAATGTACAATATTATTCAATGTTTTATTATGAAATAATATAATATTATTATAATATATTAAACTGAATGATCGGCCGGGACACCGGGATGAGTGGCAAGTATAGTAGTAAATAAACTGAGTTAAAAAAAAAATTATATGTTATTTCTTTATAAAAACGGTCAGTAAACAGTATAAAAATCAACCATTTATAAGTATATTTTACAATTTTTAGTCTTATTATCGGTAGGTAGTTCATTTTTTTATGAACTTGTTTAAAATTTTATTGACTGACAAAGAACATTTTTTTTTTTTAACCAAATATTTATCTGTATTCAAAGTTTCATTATGATTGAATGGACCAAATTATTTTAATAAGCATTTAATGTTAAAAATGTATGTAAAAATAGTAAAATCCGTAATAATTTTATGTTTAATAATTTACTTTACGCTTATGATAATTTAAATTAACCATACATGGTAAGGTATAATATAGTCAACGACTCCGCGTTCCCAGATATATAAAATAGTGACTAGACTACATACATAAATCTTAGACAACCAGTAGCCGCAACCACCCTGTTCTTCCGTTCATTCATACAGAAAATCATTCAGGAGAGTCACCAGTCAACAAGGTCATCAGCCATCGCTGAAAGGATCAGTGATAAGGTTCATTCAACACAGTACAACAAATCACTGTAACAGTAAGTTTTGTGTTAAAAAGACCCATCACTTTATGTTAAACCCTGTATGTCAATTTTAATTGTAAGTACAGCGATGTTCATACATTTTTATAAAAAAAAATATTGTAAATATTTTACAATAAAAGTTAATAATACCAAAAACTCGGAATTGGATTCATTACAACTTATATAATAAAATAACCTTGGCAGAAGTTCATGAAATTTAACTTAAATTGTATTAATTTTATAAATATTTGTTAACATTTCTGGGGGAGAGGGTTGGACTCCCCAACCCCCAATGATCCTTCCAATCCAATGTTCTAATATATATATATATATATATATATATATATATAATTACAATCAGCCAATCTTGAACACGTTGAATGACTGTATAAAATTTACTACTGGTTTGTTAAGGAATTTTAATATTCGATATAGTAATTTAGAGTGTTTTGTGTGATTGTTTTCTTTCATCTATACGTTGAATTTATAACAGAATAAAACATTTGTGATTTGATTTTTTTTTTTCTAGCACGTGTAAATCATGTGTTTTTTCTTTGTTTTTAATTCTTTGAAGTTTATGGGATGATTATAAAATAATATAATTCATTAAGCACATTAATAATATTTAAAAACTTTCATCTGGCATTTAAATTATTTTTAATAACTGTAAATATTTTTTGATAATAGTTAGGATACAATTACAGGGAATGAATAGCATATTTTTCATACCTAAACGAATCCGGGTAGATATATACTAATCACGTACCCACGTTTGACCATTCTGATGGTTTTTATGAGTTGGAAAAATGTAAAGGGTTAAAACAGTAATGTGATATTATTACAGTGTACTCTCATTTTTGGGTCAACTAGGTGGTATTCATATCATTTTACTGCGATGACCGTTCACTGTAATCGGAAATACAATTTTGTGAACTTTAACGAGAGCTTTCAATTTTATTATTTATCAATTAAAAATAAAATATCCTACATCTTCTTGCTGTTGATTCGTCGTAATACCTTAATATCGTTTGGAAACCAGCGTTGATTTTAAATTAAAAATAAGAACTATTAACAATATAACAATTATTTTTTAATTTTTTTCGAACTTATATATTGATATGTATATAATTAATTATCTATATATGCAATTATACTTCTAGATATTTTAGATTAGATTTATTAAATATTTTAAAACATTTTATTTTTATTTTAACTATTCTCGAATGTACTTCAGCTATATAAAAAAATAAATAATTAACATATTTTCTTCTCTTTATCTTTTAATTACTATTTTTCAAATGGTTGAAATTAATGAGTTAAAAATTGAATAAGTTTAAACACTATCTTTATAGTAAATTGCTACTCTTTTTTTATGTGAACTAACGTTTTAATTTTAAATGATTCTAACAAAATTGAATAACGTTTAGATCAAAAGCAAATCTTCATTATTAAACATTTTCATTTCGAAAAGAAATAAGTTAATTTTATTTGAAATACAATAACCATTTTAGAAGTATATTCAGTAGCATTATAAACAACGATAGGTGAATCCAAATATGTTATCTACCCATCACTAACATAAATATTAAAAAATATAAACTATTTTTTACTGTACAGAAAAATTTAATTTTAGACTTTAATTAAATTTTACAATTTTTTTTTCTTTTTATGAATCAACTTAAAATCTAGTGAATTACAAACAAAAGATTAACCATGAAAGCTTTATAAAAAGTAACTAAAAATTTCGTTGGTTTGATTTTCTACGTAAATCTTATTTTGAGAATAAAAATGAATCTGCAATGCAAAAAAAAAAATAAAAATAAATAAAATAAAGCTCGATCCACTACAATCCATTAAATCCAGCGTACGGAACTACAAAAGCTTCGAGAAATTTACATACCTATGTGCGATATATATTTTCATACGTGTACAAAGTTTACTTATGTTGTGCATATATTATTAAGTTCCTAACGTTCCACGGTATCCTAAATGTGGTGCTATAATTATTACTACTATTATTATAGCGCGAAAACATTTATTTATAATAAACTTAAGTATTTTTAACAAATGCTCATGCACCGTTCAGCTTTATGAATTATTATTTTTATACGTATATTTGTAGAAATTTATGAGACTACATTGTATTATAATGCGTGTGTGCATTGTAAACTGTGTCGCTTTTACGCTCCGCATACACGGTAGTTAAACGGTCCGGAAATTTACCATTAGGTAACATAAGAGTAGTGGCGTCGGACGTTTACGAACATGAAACAGTAGATGTACATTAATAAAACGGTGTTTTATTGACCAATACAAAGGTCTCTTCCTAAAACATTTTTAATGATTATGTACGTGGGTAATAGTATTTTTCGTTGGCGGACCGACGTATATGACAATTTACGGACAATTCCGCAGTCTTAGAAAGGAAATTAAAAAACGTTAAGTTCGCAAAAAAATGTGAACTTTTCTAGAAGGAAAAATATTTGAAAAAAATTAATATAAATGCCATCTATTCTTTTGGGTTGTAAATAATATATGTGATTACAATGACGTGGACATTCGTAGAAAAATAATCGTTTCCGGTGAATCACCGACGTCAAGTCAATAATCAAAACGAAGCAGTGGCGCCAAGACCGCCCCACTTTTTTCCCGTTGGATACGCGAAAAAACTATTTATGTAAGTTATATATTAAATATATATTTATTTGTAGTATACCGTTAGGAATAGGAATAAACAATTGACCGATAAATAACATAAGTGCATTAGATGATGGGTAATGAGAAACAATTTATGTCCCCGAACTGAAAATTGGTTCGACACCACCGAAACAAAATAATATATTTCATTAGAAATTCTATCACTGTCAATATGAAATCGTATGTCAAACTGTAAATAATTATGTTTGTGTGAACAATGTTGTGAACAAATATTATAGAAAACGCTCGCAACGAGAAGACCTATTAAAAAAATAAAAATAAAAATTCCTAAAACTAATTTTAAAATAATTTTCTTCACCGACTCCTCACCTTGCATGAAAACTTTAAAAAGATAATTTATATGAAATATTTTTACGGCAAAACAACGACGGTGGAATTAAACTTAAGCTATCGTGCTTATTTTTAAAGATATGGGCAAAACACATTTTGGTTATAAGTATAATTACGCTATCGCTCCACACAATGCACATTGAAGACATCTATCAAATAACTACGAAACACCGCGTAAGATAGGTCACAGAATGAACTTAAATGATATTTTTGTCGTTTTGCAAAAAACAAAGTCCACTTTTCAAGTTTA